GCAGTATCAGCTTCTCTGTGGTAGTAGTGCGGATCCATACACCCAAAGCACCCTGCTCCAGCAAATGTAGACTGAACCGAAGACCTTAGGCCCCTAAAAGCTACTACAACGCGCTGCGCCAGCTTCGACGGATCAGACAAGACCTCCCAAGCCTGGAAGCTGAAAGCCCTCAACATACCTCAACCCCAAACCTCGAACTCAAGCAGGGTCCAAAAGCCCAAGCCTCTTTTTCTGAAGTCTTCCCATCTTCCCTTTTTTTGGGGGTGTTCCGATGCCCTGCAGGTCCCGAATCGCCACTTGGGTTGCAGAAGAACAGGTGTTTTCAGGGTCCTCAGGGGCTTGGGGTCTTCATGCTTAGGGTTACAGGGTTCACAGGTTAAGTTTCGGAATATGAACTCGGACGTTCAGTGGGCCGGTGCTGCAAGTCCGGAGGCTGGAACTGTGTTCGCCTAGCCCCAGAACATCCCAACCTGAAGCCCTAAACCCTAAACGGCTCGGGGTCCTGCACGCTCTGTGGTCTCAAGAGCTCGGTCGGGTGCGGTCTGGGCACTGCTGCATGTCGGCCTCAAGTTCGAGGGGGCGTCGCGTGGCAGATTGCTTCCTAAAGGTAGTGCATGGCATAGTTCTTAATTAAGGGCTCGATCAGTACCCATTTCGGCAACGCATTGGTTCCTGGACGACAGCAGCATGCACAACGAAAAGCCAGTCGTGCTTTAACCAGAAAAGGCCAAAACTTGCGCAGCATGCTGCCCGGTGTCGGGCCCAACTTTTTTCGTTGTGCCCTGCAACATCCTTCAACAAAGTGTTATGTTTCGGGGCACATCTGGATGCTGGGAGTCGAGTGTTGTGGCTCGGTATGGTACTCTGACGCATGGTCTGGAGGAGGCTTCTATACTCCTAGACTCCTACAAAGATCCTCAAACCCCAAGCCGGGTCCCTCGACCCTAAGTTAAAAGCCAATCCTGAACAACCCTATACCACCCTTGACCCACACCCCATGTCCTTGCTGCGCGGATCCCTTTGTTTCTGGGAATATTCTGTAAGCTGCCGATGTTTGCTTAGGCTTACGAAATTCTCTTTGGGTTCCCATGCCCAAGGCATCGAACCCCGAGTTTCGTTCAAAAGGCCGACGCGTGGCAACTCTAAGGTGGGTGCGCGGCGAAACACCGCCGCCCATGGACTTCGACGACTTCGATGGTGAGCACCGAGACCGGAGTTTAAGTCTTTAGTTCAGGGGTGTAGGCTTTGTCGCGTTAAGGGTTTTGCAGGTCAGACTGGGGCATGTATCGAATCCTGAGAATCGATATTCAGGCTTTGACGGTCCAGTGTTTCAGGCTTTTGCGTGGCCTTTGTTTTCCTTGCGCATCAACACGAAAAGGGCTCATCTGGATAATTTTGCCTCGACGCGACACGCCGGTCGTCAATCCAGTGCCGCATGCTGACTGCGGTTTCAACGTGGCAGCATCACGAGGAGCTGTTCAAGCAATGCATGTGCAGATGCGAGCGAACCTGGCTGCTGGAGGCATATTGACCAGTGCGGGGGATACTCCCAGCCTTGATTCCAGATCTGCAGCCGACCTGCCATTTGCAGATCATGTAGCTCAAACGGCGAACAATTCTTGCCGAGCACATCAGCCGGCAACAGCGAGTGATTGCTTGAATCTGAGTTATCAGTGGGCGCCGCATCGGTCCACGGAAAGTGGATATGACAGTTCTGGCGAGTTTGGACGGGGCTCAAACTGACAGCCGACCAAACATGAGAGCACGGGCCGGTTTTGTTGACAGCACACCTTCTAGAACATCGTGGGTTTCGATAGCTGTGCAATATAACGGTCCTAACTGCAAGCAGGGCGGTGTGCGTAGTTTTCCAAGCGGCTTCGTGGCCCTTTCGTTTTCATGCTGTCACCTTGCAGCGTGGTTTTGGGTTTTGGGGCTTCGGGACCAAGCCTGGATCTCGCCCCATTAACCGGCCACTGCTTTGCCAAAGGCATGAGATCATCGGCGTGGGTGCGATATTGAACGACACGGCCTTCTATGCCCGAAGGAAATGCGGCGTCAATGCCGCCGCGAAGGCAAGAATGCTTCACAGCCCGCACTCAATTCGGCCATTCTTTAGACGCATTCTGCTTGCAGTATGCAAATCAAGCGCTTGATAAATTGGATCACGCTGCACGCCATTCTTGTTCCGATACATGTGCAAGGGACAGACTCTGTTGGCCACACCCAACGATGGCCAACTTCGTACGTGATCGTTTAGAGCTTAGGGTTGAAACCATGTCCAAAACAAGTACCCCAATATCCACAACCACGAAAGCTAAGAAGTTGTCAGAGCACGTTGTTAGTACAGAAAATGGGCTTTTGCCGCTTGCCAATGGGCGTTCCAAAGAAGATGAACATTGAAAGTTCAAGATTACCCCCAGTATCGTAAACTCCCATATATCAAGACTTTGACAAGCCTGCAGGAGAATGGCTGTTCGGTATATCAGATCACACGTTCTGCGGTGGAGCGCCCGGGCTGCTTACGAAGGTCTTGGGGCTATCTGAGAGTACAGTGGTCTCATGAATTAAAACCGCAAGACGCGAAGACCTTCTACGTGCTATATCTATTCGCCAGAGCACTAGAATGACAAGTCTGTTTTTGCAGGTGCTGGTGTTGAAAAAACTCATGGGAGCATCCGGAATCTCAGCCGTTTAGGCATCGGAGGCATGCCTTGGAATTTGAGTTTGTTCGGGCTTGGGCTGTAACAGCATGCACCAAAACCCTAAACCCGATTTTCGAGCCTGTTGAGCAGATCTCCCAATGGTTTGGGCGGTGTTTTCAGAACCTCCCAAGGAAACTGGAGCTGGAAGACCCTGCTGCAGCTGTGCTACTACAGAAGGCACAGGACGCTGTGTTAATGTCAGGTATCGATGTTTTCTGTTTTGCTTTTGAGGGTCAAGTATCAAGCCAGATTGCCCCAGACAAAACGCTTGAAACCCGATGTCGCTACGCCCTCCCCCCCCCCCCCCCCCCACCCTCACCCCCCGCATGAAAAGTCGACTTTCCTTGACGGCGGAAACTCTCATTGACTCCCACTTCGGTAACTCCGCGATCATGTGTGTCAGGTGCTACTTCGGGATCTCTCGCAGCTCATGGCCGCTTGCCTACACCTACCAGTACCAGGCACAAGCAGAAGAAACATTGTACAGCCAGCGTAAACAGAGTTGCAGGACTGTAGTTCCCCCGTCTATACCGACAAGTTACGGTTTCGAACATGGTGAAAGGCCAATGGCCATCTTGACCACTTCCACCGATAGTTTGCACAACCTCTCTCAACTCCAGATCCTGCATCCAAGGTGCAGTTCCTCTTTCCACTTCAATCGGTTGCCGGCTTGACTTGAGCGCAGCTGTTCCATTCAGCACTTGAGGAAATCCTCAGGCAAGATGTAAGTGTGGATGGACGACGATCGCTTTAGTAACCAAAACGGCATATGCTTCATGTCTTTAGGGAGGAGTGAGGAGTGATACTTGTGAGCAGCCAAAGCTCATGATGTCAAGCAGCGATAGCTTTGAGACATGTGCCGATGCTCCTGCTGCCGCCCAATATGTGCATGTTCAGCATGAAGCTTGAGTCAGATCTGCAAGCGATTCTGGGAAACCATCACGTCGGCCAAGATTGCAACACCTGCCTCCAACCCGAAACTCCAAACCTCAAGACTGAAAGCCACCAGTCCTCCACAGCTCCCGCAGGCATGCTATCCGATGCTATCCCTCTGAGCATCATAAATGCCGAGCCCGGAACACTAGTCACCTTGAAACAGCAACATAAACTAGCTCATGAAAGCCCTAGAAACAGCTTTGATTGTAGCTGACACTACGCTCTAAGCAGCTCCTTAGTCATAAGCCGGGCTCCATTTGGCCACATCAGCAGGACGAAACTGCTTCAGCTGCGGGGCTTTAGAGTTTGGGTCTGTAGGCCTGCGGTGATTGGTTTCAGTTTCGGGGACTTCGGGGTTTATGTCCCTGAGTGAGTGAGGTCTGTGTAGAATGAGTGATATACAGATTTATTTCTGGTGGTGGCGAGCCACCTTGTTGAGTCAGGAAATGCCCGGTTGCCCGAGCCGTTGCGTTTTGCTAGTGCGAGCGACCGACGGACGCTTGGGGGGGGGGGGGGGGGGGGATCTTTTCGAGAGTTTGTCGCTTCTTGGTGCGCCCCTTGGCCTTGGTGAAGGGTCGAATCAACTTGGGACCCAGACAGAACACATGCTGCTGAACTGAAGGCAGAACCGAATTCCAATGTTTTTTATCCACGTTTTTCGCCACGCTGGCTCAGAATCTTAAGCAACCTTTTGCCAAGACGTCAATCCAAACCCTATGCGCAAAGCCGGCCACAAGAACCTGAAGTCTACCGCATGAATAAAGGAGCGTGACCAAGAAAATGCATTCCGCGGCGGGCCCGGTTGTGAAGGTGGGGGGGGGGGGGGGGGGGGGCTTGCAGGTTCAGGGCGACTTAGATCTTAGGGGGCTCAACGGCTTCCACTTTTGAAATTAAGTTTAAGTTTGCTTGAGGTTCAGAGTTTGTCGATGTACCAGCTGAGGGCATGCAGTCAGTATACACGACCCTGCCCATGCAGCCACCTCAAGGGCAGGGCACGAATTCCAAAAGAACTTGAGCACTTCAAGGCGGCGAGGCTTAGAACTGTGAGCTGGGGTTGAGAAGTTGAGAAGAAGCAGTGACCCTTTGTTGAACACGATTTCAGGACTTTCAGGAGTTTCGGGTTCAAGAAGTGCTGTTCCGCTGCTGATGGCTGAGCATCCATGTCAAGGTGAGGCAGTTCACCCCAAGCCCACATCAGGTCCAAATCCTAAACTACTCGACGGATGGCTATAGTTCGCGCGCGGCGCTGACATGAACAATCATGGCTAGACGTGTGCAATACCCGTTACTTGGCTTCCACGCAAGCAACATATTGCTTATCCGCGCAGCTACCTTTTGCGCGTTTCCATTCATCCACGTGCCATGGGTGCTTCTGCAGCCAGGAGCTCTGACCCTGAGGACCTTTATCAAGATGATGTTTTTCCATGGTTCCTGAAAGCTTGTTCAACATGTTTTTTTTCGATTTCAAGAAGACAAAGCGCCCTCTCTGTACCACTTCCACACGACAAAGAAGTTGTTGCTTTTTCACTGCTGCAGTGGGGACGACATATGAAGCTTTGTATCGACGGCCGCAGATGCTGAATGGAGTGCCCCCCCCCCCCCCCCCAAAAAAAAAAAAAAAAAACAAAAGTCCATGGAGTGCCCGACCCCGAAATGTGCTGCGGCAATTTCCGGGGGTTGAGCGCAGCACCCCGGTGGCAGAGGCTTTGTCCTCAAGGGGCCCCGTGAGAGGCCAGTGCCCGGTGATCCTTGGAGTGCCAAGACACCCAAAAATAGGCACCGAGATTGCCTCCCCCCAAACAACACCTTTTAAGTGCCGGCCATCCCGACATGGCTTCTGCCCAACACCCCAGGATGCTCCGGAATGTGCTCGAAGTGTAAACTATTGTGAATTTGCATCACAGGAAAGACTCCTTATGCACAATTAGCGCAATTGACATTGAGGTTCCACTTGATCCAGTGGAGCGCAGAAAGCGCAACCTCCAACCGCGTCTTCCGCTACGACATAGCAGGGGCGCAGCAAGCCGCACGGGCTCTAACACGAGACGCCGGCACCTTTCTTCAAGTTTGTCCCAACGAGCTGCCCCAGGACTCCGGTTTCAGCATGGATGACGACACAAACTTTGCTGAGTGGGCTGGGGCGCTGCTCGAGTGGAACTCTGAGCTGAGGTTTGTACGCTTCCGGCTGGTGCCACGCCGGCTGACAGAAGAAGCTTTTTGGAGCCGGTATTTTGCCGCCCTGCGCAAGTCCATTCAGGATCTCCTGTTTCAGGAAACCTCTTCGGACGAAGAACCCGACGCCCCAGACGAGGCTCCTGGGCATGCACAGGTCCTTCCAGAGGTGGGCAACACCTGAGACGCATGCGAAGCCTTGAGCTTTTCGAGGCGAGCGCTTGTCGCGAGGAGCTCCTGCAAAAGAGCTATGGCCCGGCTATGGCTTGAAGCTGACATACAAGACTGGCTCGTTCATGTGACAGCGTCGGTTTGCAGTCTATGATGGTCGCATGTGCTGGTCCCCTGCTTCGCTACGCACCTGCTCTGGGAAAGCTATCGCTCTATGCTTCTAGCATCTTCTGGCACCTTGATGGTGGATGATGGTGGTCGAGAAAAAAGTTCAAACAGGGAAGATCAGATCTTCAGCTGGGCAACGCTCCCTCGCAATGGTAGCCAAAGCACCAAACCTCCGTCCCTGTTGCACAGTTGCACCATTCTATTGCATTGCGACTCATGTATCTGCCGTTCCCTTGACAACGTGAAGAGCACTGCCACGAAGGGACAAAAAGGAAGTCCGGGCGTGCCAGCTTTCTTCACTGGTTTGCTGTTTGGTAGGCTTGATTTAGACACTGTTGGCACTGGTCTCCAAGTTCATGCAGCCAGTGTTAGTGGATTTGGCTTCATTTTTCAGTGTCGCAGGCAGAGTGCAAGGAAGTGACCTGCTCCCTGCCTTGTCCCGTGGCTCATTTCCGTGCTTGCAGCAAAGTTGCACTGCATTACACGCCTTTCCATTCGAGGGCAGCCTGAGAAACATACCGCCTTGAGCAGCGCGAGCGGCAAGCGCTTCAACGTAGCATGTCATTGTAGCGGCATCGCCAGACTCCCTCGGATCCTAGTAGTCTTCAAGTGACCACATTATCCCACTCATCCCACCCATCTCAACCAGCCATATAATTGACATACGTTCAGCTTTGACAGCGGACCACGCTGGGCGATGCCCGAGGGCGGGGCCAACGGGACAAAGCGGCCGCAGCTTGGTCGACAGCAGCTGGTGGTGGTTGAGTGAGTGAGTGAGTGAGTGAGTGAGTGAGTCAGTGAGTGAGTGAGTGAGTGAGTGAGTGAGTGAGTGTGTCAGTGAGTGAGTGAGTCAGTGTGTCAGTGAGTCAGTGAGTCATTGAGTCAGTGAGTCAGTGTGAGGCAGTGAGTGAGTGCAGGAGTGCGTGAGTGAGTGGGTGTGTGTGTGTGTGTACGTGTATATGTGTATGTGTACGTGTGGTGTGTGTGTGTGTGTGTGCGCGCGCGTGTAGTGGGGGGGCAGGGGAGGAGAGGTTTTGAGTCAAGCAGGCTTCTGAATCTGGGTTTTGTCTTTCTGACAGAGCCTTCGCGGCCATGCATGAAGAGAGCTCAAGGCAAATTGCGTGCGCTTGGTCCGGTGCTGGAGGGGCCCGGGAGTAATTCACTGATCGGTCAGCCCTAGGCTAGAGTACTAAAGCAGACTCTGGTCACCGAGGTTTGCAAAGTCTTGCAGTGCTTTTGTATGAATATTAGAATACCTGGCCGGTCCCCGTCCCCGACGAAACGAGTGCATTGGAACTCCGCAGTGCGCTGCAACCTGTATCCTGCAACCTTCGAGAATCGCCGCTTCAATTCTGGCGAAACCTTAAGCTCGGAACAGCCTTAGTTAAACTTTGACAGCCGAAAACCCAACAACCCACACACGAAGAGGCACTCAGAGTCGCCCACCGCGGCAGCCAGCGGGCCCATGCAGAAGGGCCAGCAGGCGTGGAGACCCAGACATACCCAGACCATAGTGCCCAGAGGCCTTCTTGTTGAGTGCGCGCGTGGGACGCCTTCGTCAGCTCATTGCCGCGTGACATTTCAGAACACAGCGTTTGGCAAACTTTTGGGGGGACCTGATGGCTCGGAAATGAGGCGCCATGTGGTTGGTCAGGGAAACATACAAACGCACAAACACAAGCATGTCCTGCTTGTGGCTCCAAAAGTCGGAGCCTTACACCATTTAGTCAGATCCCGGCAGACCTGCAGGGTGTCCAAAAATGAGAGGCAATCTCGGTATGTATCACCACAGCGTTCCTTCTACAGGATAACCCGTGCGACAGGCCGTGCATATGCGGGTACAAGCACATTGCGAGAGTCTTGCGTTACATCCATTCAGCACTGATCCTTCTGTTGGGTTGCAGTGGGATGGGGTGGGAGTGTGTGTCCAAGTGCATGGTGCGCCAGCATGAAGGATGGCATAAGCATTTGACAGGAATTGGTGTTTTGATTTCTTTGGATATTGGTTGTTCTGCTTGTTTGGCAGTTGGTTTTGTTTTTCGTGTTTGTGCGTCAGCAGTATATGTGGGTTGGAATGGAACTGCTGCTATTCTGTGAAAAAAATAATGGCAAGCAAGCAGCAGGTCGATTCCAGCCCTGAACCTGGCAGCTCATGTAGTAGCAAAGCCCCGGCGCTCCCGACCAAGTTCTGGACAGCGCAATCGTCACAGTGTCCAACATCCGCGTAGAAATCCAGATGAGGTCCTGTTCTACTTTGAGTCCGATGCCGGTGACCCACAGGCCTCACGGATTGCATCCTGTGTTTTCTCAAGAGAGAGATTCGACAGCCAATCTGTCGGAGGTGGGGCTTTGGCGCTGGTAACTTAGTCGGGTCCGAGAGTCGACGGCTCCAAAAGCCTGAAGGTGCCGTTGCCCCCTTTGTCATTCCTAGTCCAATACATGTCAAGCAACCCTCAACAGCAAAGCCCGGGTCATTGAAGAGCGCCAGGCACCGCTTCTCTTCTGCGGCTCCCGCGCCAAGGGATCCGGGAAGCAGGGAGGCTGGTTGGGGAGGTGATTTTCGGGTTCATGTTCAAAGAGCCGACTGTACCGATGAAGCCTTTTTTAGGCTGCACAGGCCCTTGTGCATGCTGTCAAAATCCACGCGCTGTCCTGCATTTCCAGTTGCACATGTGGCAACCCAAAACTGCCATGTGTACAATGTAGCTGTCTCAGGCGGCTTCCTGTTTGTGGCCTCCCACACTTGGCTGTCGGAACCCTGGGGGAGTGTGATGCTTGTTGACATGCTCCACAGCAGCAAACGCTTCAAGCCACCATAACTAGTTCTAAAGCACGACGCCGAACCCCGAGGCCGCAAACCCACAAACCGTCAACGTGCCAAGCAGCAAAAACAAGATTGCAACAATTTGCAAAAGACACGGATAGATTCACGAAGTTGCCGGAATGAAAGGTGCCGTTTGCACGCGGCCCTTTGTTTTGGGTTCGCACCGCAGGAACTCAGTGAGCACATGTGTGCACAGCTTGCATGATCCCATCCCCCTGTACTGAGACGATACGGTACCCTGAATCGCCTTTCCTCCGCCTGAAGTTTAGGTCCAGAAGACCAAGGCCCGAACCCCAAAAACGAGATGTCCAGACCTCCCAGATCTCGAGCTCAGGTATGGGACGCTGGAACAATCCGTAGACCCTGCCAAGGTAGAGTCAGAGCGGAAGGCGGCGAGCGGTTTGGAGTTCAGTGTTCAGCATGATTGCTGTTTCGATCTTTGGCTACGAAGACCTGCCTCCCTACAGCACTCTGTCAGCGCGTTGCTGCGACAAACAGTCGCTGTTTCCCACATTGCCTCAACTAGCGATGCAGCATGCCAGTACCTGATCGGGCAGGGAAGCAACAAGAGCGGCCGGCATTTAGGGGCGAGCGAAGACAGGTCTTCGAGTTTCTGTCATGGTCATGGTCCGCGCGAACATCGCCAGGAAACATGGCCCTTGGTGCTTCCAAAGGGCGAGTACAACTTCGTCACGCGCAAGGCAGTAGAGTCAGGGTCCTTTGTGGACGAATCCGTTTTCACTCGAGATTTACGGTTGGTCTTTGCTTATGAAGCGCTGCACCTTTGCATGCTCCACGTTTCAGTTGAGGGTTTCGGCTAGGTGACCACAAGGCGGCCAAAGATCTCTTAGAAGCGACCCCAGATCTATCATGCAAGAACTTCTTGGGTTTAGTTTTCAGAGGGAAAACGAATGAGAGAACTGGCACCCGCCACTCAAAGCCACCAACCCCCTGAACCCTTTCAACATGCCCGAACCCAAACCACATGACTTCCTGCGAACAGCCTTACAGCCCCATTGAAGGGAGCACCTGTGCCTTCAGCCACGATGCCCCAGCGAGCCTGACCCCAAAAAGCCGGGGATACCATAGGGTTCATGGGGCTATGGGGTCCATGGCTAAGGTTGTGTCCTAGCCTTGGCACTCAAGTCAGGAATTTAACGCTGGAAGGCCGATTGAGTAGGAGTGTTGACTCAAGATTCATGGTGTCCATTCTGATAATTGTGAGGGTTTCTTGAGTCAGTGACTGGCAGAATGCTCACTGCTCTGGCGCGTGGTGTCGTGTACCTATTTTGAAGGGAGGCTGGTGGCATTCCATCAACGGCACGTTAGACTTTCCTTTCTGTAGTGCGGATTGAGTAGATGCGCGCAGGAGATCACAAGACGGCCTGCGTGAATATTTGCGACCACGACTTGAAGCATGGGACTGCGCTACTTCCTTGTAAGGTTCGCTGGGTCTGCGACGCTAAGATGCCGCCGCCGCCGACCCAGCACAACAATGTCGGGGGTCAGCGTTGTCAAGTTGTCTTTGTACTGGTAGGGTGCAGACCATCCCAAGCCTCAAAGCAGATTTGATTTGGGGAAGGGGCCTGTGGATCCTGGCGCAGAGGCTCTTGAGATCTCCTGAACTCGGAGGCTTTAGCTCCTGAACTCTAAACCCAAAGAGCCTTGAAGCACCTCAACCCCCCAGAATGTCTTGGGTCAATTCCGGGTCAGGGCAAACCTGCAGCCTAAAACCCTCCGAATCCCTGAAAAGCCCTGCGCAGTGCCTCCGGGAACCTTGAAGTATCCCATTCAATGCTTTGGTTTTGCATGCTTGGAGTTCAAGGTGGGTGCCTTGTTTCAGATGTCTTGTAAGAACCTTTTTGGCAGATGCCCTTCCGTCAGTTTCGGGTTATTCCTACGACAACAAGCCGCTACAATCGAGTTGAACTTTCCATTGATGCAAGCCCTTGAATAGCATTCCGGATAATACAAACATCAGAGAGAGAGAGAGAGAGTCTGAGAGTGCCTTTTCGGATGTTTCTGAATCAGCAAACTTCAGGCATGTTTGGATTTCAGTGGGCGCGAATGCACGCTTCCAGAAGCACCATCAGCCAAAGGCAGAGTAGTGGTGGCTCTGCCGTACAGTACAGTGCATCAAGACAGTGAAGCTTCGATCTCTTCCTTGCCCTCCCCTTGCTTGGAGCTTCGAAGTAAGCCTTCGACCCCGCGAAGCCTCCGAAAGCATGAGCCGCGAGCACCAAGAAGCGAACTTCACATGAACAAGGCTGGTCCGCCACTTTGAAAATACGAGATCATGGCGCGCTCCGACAACAAGATCCCTGTTTAAACCATCTCCTACCCAGGTGCAAGCTTTCGCTGCTTTTCGTCCGGTGGGGCGGCGAGTTCCTTTGTTGCAAAGAACAGGGCTGCAGGGCTGCTGGCGATTTTTTTTGGCGGTTACAGGTGTCAATCTTGGGATCTGCCGTTAGCAAGTCGCTCCTGAAGCCCAGGCAAGTCATAAGCCCTACCACCAACCAGTCGTTGACGTAGGACTGGTACAAGTGTCTCTTATTCATTCCACGTCGGTTTCTTGCTGGCATTTGCGTCCCAGATCCAGCTGCCTACGATTTGATTTGAAAAGAGGGGAGGGAATGCACGAGATCAATATGATGGGCGCGCGTGCCACTGACAAGAGTATCCACAGCCTTGTTCTCACTTTGCTCGTGCTCATTCGTTGACTACCGCTCTCCGCTTTGTGTTTATTCATAGCCAATTGAGCAAATGAGAAGCCAGGGAATGAGCGAGGCGCGAAATCAACTCCTTCTCTGAGGTACTCCAAGTGGATGGATGAGCAGGAGGCAAGCATCGCCACCTTTACTGTACTAGACCCTGCAGGTTGTGTTGTTCCTGCATCTCCTTTGCATGTTGATGGCATCTTCATCAGTCGTTGAGCGAGCAAGGGCTGGCAAAGACAACGAGACTATCGCTTGCAGATTGAAAGCCTTTGAATGCAGCATGGCGAGGACCCTATGCGGGCTCGAGGATGCGAGTTGTTTTGAAGGTTGAAAATCGGGTGCAGTGCACATCAACTCAGTTCACACTAATGAAAACCCACACTCCTCTCGGCTGAGCTCTTGCACCGGCATTCTCCCTCTGAAGCTGCAAGCTCAGTCCAGGGAAGGCATGCCAGTTGCACGTGTGTCCTGACAAAGCACGATTGCCCTTTGTATGGATATATGTGAACACATGGGGAGCAAACAGGGGCCACTGTCCTAGTCGACCAGAGCATCGGCAAAGGCCTTATCTCGGTGAGGGCTCCGAGCCACAGCGGGCTCGTGGGATTCAGAGAAGTTTGCCCACGTCTACATCAGTGTTCAAAGGGTCGGAGCCAACATGATTCTCAAGACATGAACTGAAGATTTTTCGCACAATGTCGACTTCATCCGCTACGTTTATGATACGGCGACGAAGATGATGATAACGGCTGCCTGCGAGGATGAGGCGAGTGCTTCTCCGATAGGCCCGCACGGGAGCTGGCTCATCTTCCGTGGCATTGCTGGCTACCACTCCGAAGCTGAAAGTGATCGTCCAAGGGTTGAGGCCAAATGTGCAAAACGTGGAACTACCAAGGCCAGGGAGAACGGAACGTGCTGCGAATGTGAGTTCCCTTCTATCTGGGCGGCAGATGACCAATAAAGAGCCGAGGAGAATGAGTTCGTCGTGGAAGTGATCATCGTGCAAGACCCAGAGCATGTGGTACGTACATGTACGTCCCCATTTCAATGCCTAAGAAAAATTCGGCTGTACGTCGCAAGTGTTTCAAGTTCTTTGAATATTGACGCTATACTGCTTCAGTTCAAAGTATCGAATCTGGCTTCAGTGTGCTCACATTCTTAAAACCTACACCCAGCAGGAACCACTGAAATCTGTTGCCACTCCTCCGCCCCCTTGTTCAAGGCGTAGGTTTCGGGGGTTGTTTTTACTTGGCACCAACCCGGGCGCAGCCGCGTGGCAGGCGAACGATGGCGATTGGGGCAAGTACGGCTCTCCACCAAGCGATGAGTACATGGGTTCCTCAGCTGACAAGCATCTAAGAAAGACCGGGCATCCTGAAACTGCTTTCCCGAAACATGGAGCATCTTCGGTCTGCCACCCTGTGTCCTCAGGCCATGTGGTGGAGCAGGGCTTTAAGAAGCACCCGGGCCTCCACGGTCAAGAGGTGGGCCACCGGGGCAGATGGCGGGGTTTCGTCACGCTGGACACTCGTAATGCTGGAAGGCGTGGGTATGGTTGCGAGTTCTGCGGTGCCGCACACGAGTCCCGTAGCTTCAGTTTCAAGAGCTTGCAGCAAAAGTGACCTGAATCATGGCTTACGCTGACTTACCATGCCGTGGGCCCGAGTTGTGAAGTCGTCAGACTCCGAGCGCTCAGCCGTTTGAGTTGATAGGATAACAAGTACTCAGTGGCTACGTGAGCTGTCACACCACGAAACCGAGTCGGGCACGGCACAGGATGCACAAAAATCAATCTGCTGATGCTCTCCATGCTCTCCATGCTCTTCAGACTTTTGGAGCACGTGATTCAACCCCCATGCCAGGGTATTCCGCAGTGGGAGCTGCACCATGTCTTCGTTGCAAGCTCAAAGGCCGGTGCGTCGTTCATAGCCTTCGAGCGAATGTCTTAGACCGAGCCTTCGAGCGCAGTCTTAACAGAAGGAAATGACCCTGTGGAGGACGCCCTCCAGATAGCTCCGCAAGCGCACATGATCCGGGCCGGCATGAAAGGCAGGAGAGCAGCGACGCCTCAAATTAAGATGACCCCTGGCATCATGCTGCGCGGCTTGTTTACACATAGGGGGGCTTGGTCATCTACTGCAAATAGAATCAAATAGAGCTGGGAAGCCAGATTGAGCAGAAAGGCCTCTTCAACAGAACAAGCATGTGTTCACAAATCGATTTGGGTTCGGAGTCTGGCCTGGCAAAGTGCACATGACAAGGGTAGAACATTGCATAGTGCTGCATCCTGTTTACCTGGTGCTAGGGGCATAACGTTGGGGTTTGAAGGGTTTTGCTGCTGGTCGGTTGGTGGCGAGAAGGGGGATGCACAAATCATCGCCAACACAATTCCGAAACTCCTTGCAGCCACGGCCTTGCTACCCGTCACAATCTGTGGCGACCAAAGAAAGCAACTCAATCCGTTTTGCCAAACCCCTCCAAGCCTGAACACCCCCCAAAACAGTCTCCCAAATCCTGAACCAGCTGATCCCAGGAGTAGGCTCAAAAGCTCACTCTACGAAGTGTCTTGAAAGCGCCTTTGCAGGTCCCCGCCGTGCGGCCTTCTGGATGCTTTGGCCTGCCGAGTGGGAGGCCAATCCACTTCACAGCGATGATGTGCAAACATGGAAGTTGAGGGTTTAGGGTTCAGGTTTTAGGGTTTAGGAATGAGGAACACTGTCATGTGAAGGAGATCGAGGCCCCTTGCAAAGAAGAAAAGAAATTGACTGTCTGTGTTATTTACATTGGGAAGGAAAGAGCTCTGCTTTTGGGAGTGCGATTCGTGTGTGTGTGTGTGTATTTATTTTTTTATTTATTTATCTATTTATCTATTTATGTTTTTATTTATCTGTGGAAGCATACGTATCTGTATATGTATATGTAGATGAGATGTATATATACATATATATATACACACACATTCACATGTGTAGCTGCACGTGTAATGGTGTACATGTATATAGAAATGTGTGTAGACGATCATTCTGTTATTGTGCTTCTGCCTCTTGTTACTGACATGATAACCAAGTAAATGTAAGTCCAGAACTGGGGTTTAAAGCTTGAAGTACAGCCCCATCATCCTTGTTTTGGCGAGGACTTCGGTGATCCAGACTACGCCTGCTACGTGGAGCGCCACGCAATGCCCGGGGCTGGGAACGCTTGCAAATTCTGCATCGGCCAAGAAGTGACAACCAAATGGAGCCATCAGCTGTGTTACAGGATTCAGAGTTACCGTAAAGCCAGGAACAGTACCTTGTCTGAACAACCCGAAAACCCGAAAAGTAGATGTTGGCCATGAAGCCCTTAAGCCTAAAAGGGGGCGTTCGCTTTTGGAGTCTTGTGCTCTAACCGGAGGTGTACACTTTACGGTGCTGGGCCCTCATCCCCCCCCTGCTGAATAGAGATGTTTGTTTGTGAGGACTAAACCATCCTTAGAGCCCAATACGGAGACGTTTGCTTAAGCCACTGGGCCTGGCATGGCTATTTGAAAATCCAAGCAGCCTGCTTCACCCAGGAAACGATGCTCCTGCCTGGTACTTGAGACACTAAGTTACCAAGCCATCAGCCGCCACACCTGTTCTGCCACACCTAAGAACAAAACCAAGTGAGGGGATCTACCATGAGGAAGGCCAAGCATGCTTATTAGGAATCTCTGCTCTGCGTAGGCATCAGGCAATACCCTTCAACCCCAAGCCACCTCCGCACTTCAGGTTTGCTGCCATGCGTGCTTGCGAGGTTCGGCTTAGCACTTTTGGTTTAGGAAGGTTAGTGTTTCGAGCGTTTTTGCTGTCCTGGCAATGGTTAAAGTTTAAAGCCCACTGGTCGGGTTTTCGGCGGGCTCGATTTCTTTGTCTCAGTGTCGGGTCTGCATGCCTTGTCTCATGCAAAGGGCCTTCAGAGGGCCTCGGGTTATCAGTAGAGGGGGCAGCCTTGAGGGCTGCCTGAAGGCTGTAGTCTTCCTTCAAGCTCCTCTGCACTTTGCAATAGTTTTTCCGGCAGCCGGCTGTGGGGACAGGCACTCGGGCAGCAAAGTACGTCAGGAGAAAGAGCTGCACCCCACACCTGCTTGAGCGCTTGTATGTTGTGATCCTTAGCTCGTACGCTGTCTTCCAAGCAGCATGCACTTTCGACATCCCAAATGCTATCCCCGCAAGTCCCAGCAACGTATTGCTGTGAAACCCCCACGTGTTTCTTGACCCCCCGAACCTTCTTTCCAGCCCCTCCCAACATGCTCTCCCGACCCCTTGGGAAGCTGCCCCCCAAGCCCCCAAGATTCGTTGGCAACCCTTCACAACACTTCGCCGTGACCTGCTTCCTGCATGAACCCCCAATCTCCTTCATTTGACCCCCAAAGCCTCGGGTGTTTGAGCAGTGCTATGTCCGTGCACACATGCTCATGCTCCTCCGGCAGCTGCGTGAAAGGGTTGGGTCAGGTTGAAGCAGCGTCCGGCCCCTGTACTTGCAGTGCTTGTAAATCTCGGCTCCTTCTGTTAGCACATGGCAGAGTGTGTCAGTGTGTGTGTGTGTGCGCAAATCAGGGTCGGCAGCCCTCAACCCGAGTTGTGCCAATGGACGCGAGGAGTCCTGGGATCCAGTGTCTCTATACTGTCACCCTGCCTGAACTCCTTGAAGTCGTGGCCTCTTGAAAATGGAGGCGGCTGCCATCCGCAGTATTTTCCCTCATGCGGCGGACCAGCATGGCTCTCAGATTCAGGATTTATGATTGAGATTTCGAGCCAATGTTGAGTCAGTTTGAGGGTCAGCTTGGGAGTTTATTGCTGAGAGCTTTGGATGGCAACATGTATCCAGAAAGATTGTAGACGTTGGGATTTTGTGGTCAGATGAACCCTTCCCACAAAGCGCAACAACCCTGTTGCAGGGGAGGGCTATTTTGTGGAAACAGAAGAGTCAATGTCAATCCCAATGCCAATGCCGAAACAGGCCCTGAGACCCACCTACGAGAGTGAGTTTGGGCCATTTAGGTACGACCGATGCTGCCACCTACAAAGTCCCACACCTCAGGTACGAGCTCATCACGTCCAAGTCGTGGATGGCGACGCTCTCATTGCATCCAGGCGGGGAAGACCGAAATCCGCTTACGCCCCATGAGCCTGATGAACAAACCAATCGACGTCAAGACTGCCAAGTAGACCTTGGCTTCGAATGAGGACAATAGGCTTTGGAACGCTTCACCTGGAGCCGGCTCCGGACAAACGCGAAAGCTCCAGCCATACCCTGAACCCATGAGACACTAAGCTGTGACCACAGCCAGCACTGCAGAAGTCCCAGGGCAGGGTAACTTCCCTACTCCTCCAGCCCCGTAGAAGAAGAAGAAAGAGGTAGGGAGAAAAAAAGAGAGAAATATATATGTATATATATATGTGTAGATATATACACATATATATATATATATATGCTCACACCCCCCCCCCCCCCATGACCCACCGTGAGGCCGTGTCGGAGTAAGAAATCCATACTTAGTCATAGCTATGAATTTAATAAGAACCCTCTTAATTGAACGAAAACCCTATGAAATTCATACGAACCCTATTAAGATTAATAAGACTCTTTATTGAATCAAGAGGAATAATGACTTGGAATCATATTTGAGTCAGAGGAACTCCCTATCAAACGTCATGGGAATGCTATTAAAATGTAGAAAAAGAATAGGGCCCCCATGAAGAATAGTAGGGAGCTTGTGAAAATGAGAAGGGACCCTTTTTGAATTCACGGGAATGTGAGAATTCCATTAAATCTAAATAGGAATCCTATTAATATTTCTCTTAATCTTGTTATGATGAATTAGAATCCTATTCAATTTATGAGGAACCCCACTAAAATTCATAAGAACCCTTTTACAAATTAAGAGGAATCTTTTGAATGAAGAAGGTCCCATCAATTAGAATTTATAAGCAACACCACTAAAAAGCAGTAGTAGTAGTAGTAGTAGTAGTAGTAGTAGTAGTAGGAGTAGGATTAGGAGTAGGAGGAGGAGGAGTAGGAGGAGGAGGAGGAGGAGCAGGAGTAGTAGGAGGAGTAGGAGGAGGAGGAGGAGTAGGAGTAGTAGGAGTAGTAGGAGTAGTAGGAGTAGTAGGAGTAGTAGGAGTAGTGGTAGTGGCAGTGCTAGTAGTAATTAGTAGTAGTAGTAGTAGTAGTAGTAGTAGTAGTAGTAGTAGTGGCTTGGGCCGCCGTGGGGTCCCAGTGCTAGAATGTACGATTTGTTGCCGGGAAGATGTACGATTTGTTGCCGGGGCCTTAGGCTGGAAGTGGGGTCGTTGTGCTAAGATATACGATTTGTTGCCGGTGTTTTTGCGCTCGAAGTGGGGTCCCACTGCTAAGTTGAGTTGTACGATTTGTTGCCGGTGTCTTGGGCCCAAATTAGGGGGCGAACTTTCAGCGGGGTCCCAGCGCTGAGATGTACGATTTGTTGCCGGTGACATGATCTTGAAGTGGGGTCCCCGTGCTGAGATGTACAGTTTGTTGCCGTTGTTTTTTGGCCTCGAAGTGAGTGCAATTTGTCGGAGTTGTCTTGGTCTCGAAGTGGGTGCCCCAGTGCAAAGGAAGTGCGATTTGTTGCCATGGTTTTAGCCTCAATGCAGTGAGTGCCCCAGTGCTAAGAAGTACGATTTGTTGCCGTTGTCTTACGATTCGTTGCGCTGACATGGTGCCCGAGCGCAAAGAAGCGTGATTTGTTGTCCCGGCTGCTCCAGTGCGAACAAGTGCGATGTGTTGCCGTTGATCACAAGTGTCGCGCCCATACTCTCTTATTCAGCGTTTCTCCACTGTCGCTCAAGTCTTCGTCAATGACTTGCGCATTGCCGTTGTCTTGGCCTTGAAGTAGTGCTCCAGCTCTAAGAAGAACGATGTGTTGCCTTTGTTTTGGCGTTGAGTGTTCCAATGATCAAGAGTACGATTGGTTGCCGTTGTGTTGGCCCTTGAGTTCGTGCCCCATTAAACAGGACGGGGTTTGGTTTAGCGTCTTGAAAGGCGGCCTTTCGCCGCCCCCTTCCGCCTGCCCTCCCGCCCACCCCTCCCTCCCCCGGAGAGCACACGGGCTCCCAAAATAACGTGAGAGCGCCAGAGGTTTTTTCAAGGGCAGGGGATGGGGTCCTTTGGGAGCAATTTTGTGGGTTGACCACCTTCAAAGTTTTAATACGTGTAGGTCCTACACCTGTGAACTGTCCCTCACAACCACCAAAAACTATCAAAAACTATATCTTTAAACACAGATCTCCCCGAACATCCAACAAGACCGCAGCGCAGGAGCGTCATGCTGCTGCGGCCAGAGCCTACCTGTGAGTTTGCAAAGCTTAGTGGAGCGCATTCCTTTCTGGGTGATTAAGGTCTGATAACCTAGTGTGCTGTAGAATTTCGGGCCAGGAGCCCTAAACCTTGAGATTTCTCAAGGAACCGCTCGCTCGACCCTGCCACACATCCAGCTTTTAATTCTCAGCGGCTGTCCGGGTGTGGGGCTTGGCAACAACCCCAGGTGGCAAATCAGATATGATGTGAGTCGTATCGTCCATCTCAGCTGAGGCTGAGGTTGTTATGAACAAAAAAACTGCCCTGCTCCCCCTGTTTTCGAACCGACCAGCGAGCGAGCACACTCGGGGAACCCAGTGCGTCTAGCGCCGGAGTATGACATGGCAACGTGGTACTGATACCCAAGAAGCGCAGATGTGGCCCCGCTGATGGGGCAGCAAGTCTAGCTTGAAAAATCTGCACAGACGCCCTTGGGTATGAGTTGAGAGAAACCTGCTTTTGGGCTCAGAGAAATCCTACTAAATTAATAGGAACCAATAGGAATCCTATAAAAACAAATGTGGTTCGGATTTCTAGGCTTCCTGTTAGAATTCATGTGATTCCTATTAGAATTAATGGGACAGGAATGCTCTTCAAATCTCCAGAGAAAACCATTCCAGTTACTTTGCAAGTCACAAACATGAATAGGAACCAATAGGAATCCTAAAAAGAAGTATGAACCCTTTGCATTTTCAGATGGACCCCTATTGAAACTAAAAGAAGCCACTTTAAAATGATTGAGAACCTTGTTGAATTTCATAAGAACCCTGTTTACAGAAAAACGTATTAGGAATCCTTCTACATTGAATAAGAACCCTATGAAAATTCATAAGAATATTCTGAAATGGTAGAGGAGTCCCATTAAGATGGTCAGGAACCCTTTGACGTTAATCGGAGTTCATTAGGAACCCCAGTAAAATTTTTAAGAACCCTATTACCAATTGATAGGAATCCTTTTAAAATGAAGAGGAACCCTACTAAGTCCTACTAAAAATAATAGGAACCAATAGGAATCCTACAAAATTCAATGTGGTTCCTTTTCAAAATTTCTTGGCTTCCTGTTAGACTTAATGTGATTCCTATTAGAACAAAGGGCGAGGAATGCTATTCAATTTTCTAAGAATACCATTAAAATCACTTGGAGACTCACTAAAATGAATAGGCACCAATATGAATCTGAAAAAGATTTTTAATTTCAGAGGAACCCTGTTGGAATTAAAGAGCCACTTGAAAATGATTAAGAACCTTGTTGAAACGCATAAGAACCCTCTTGAAAAGTATTAGGAATCCTCTGATGTTGAATAAGAACCCTCTGAAAGTTCATAAGAATATAAGTAAAATGAAAAGAAGTCCTATAAAGATGGTTAGGAGCCCTTTTACATTAATAGGAATAGGAATGCTATTGCTGAGATTAATATAAGACTGACCAAAGCCAACGAGCCTCCAAGCATAGCTACATGTAGAGCTGAACGGTTCTGGCCCGAGAGAGGTACGAGGCAAAACCAAAAAAACAAAAAAAAAACATCTTTTTTAGAGAATGGGGAGGGGATGTTGAAAAAGATGTTTTTTTTTTGGTTTTGCCTCGTAAAAAGATGGTTTTTCATAGAAAAACCAACTTTTCCCACGTAAAAAGATGGTTTTGGTCTAGACTGCCTCAGGAAAACCATCTTTTTGCGAGGTAAAAGTTGGTTTTTGGCTCCAAAACCATCTTTGACGAGGCAAAACCAAAAAAACCATCTTTTTTAGAGAATGGGGAGGGGATTTTGAAAAAGATTGTTTTTTGTTTTTGCCTCGTAAAAAGATGCTTTTCCATAGAAAAACCAACTTTTCCCACGTAAAAAGATGGTTTTGGACACAAAAACCAACTTTCGCCTCGTAAAAAGATGGTTTTGGAGCCAAAAACCAACTTTTCCCTCGTAAAAAGACGGTTTTCCTGAGGCAGTCCAGACCAAAACCATCGTTTTACGTGGGAAAAGTTGGTTTCCTATGGAAAAACCATCTTTTTACGAGGCAAAACCAAAAAAACATCTTTTTCAACATCCCCTCCCCATTCTCTAAAAAAGATGTTTTTTTTGGTTTTTTGGTTTTGCCTCGTAAAAGATGGTTTTGGAGCGAAAAACCAACTTATACCTCGCAAAAAGATGGTTTTCCTGAGGCAGTCCAGACCAAAAGCATCTTTTTACGTGGGAAAAGTTGGTTTTTCTCTGAAAAACTATCTTTTTACGAGGCAAAACCAAAAAACCATCTTTTTCAACGTCCCTTCCCCATTCTCTAAAAAAGATGGTTTTTTTGGTTTTTTGGTTTTGCCTCGTAAAAGATGGTTTTGGAGCCAAAAACCAACTTATACCTCGCAAAAAGATGGTTTTCCTGAGGCAGTCCAGACCAAAAGCATCTTTTTACGTGGGAAAAGTTGGTTTTTCTATGAAAAACCATCTTTTTACGAGGCAAAACCCAAAAAACAATCTTTTTCAACATCCCCTCCCCATTCTCTAAAAAAGATGGTTTTTTGGTTTTTTGGTTTTTTGGTTTTGCCTCGTAAAAGATGGTTTTGGAGCCAAAAACAAACTTTTACCTCGCAAAAAGATGATTTTCCTGAGGCAGTCCAGACCAAAACCATCCTTTTACATGGGAAAAGTTGGTTTTTCTATGAAAAACCATCTTTTTACGAGGCAAAACCAATAAAAAACATCTTTTTCAACATCCCCTCCCCGTTCTCTAAAAAAGATGGTTTTTTTGGTTTTTTGGTCTCGCGCGGGTCTGTTTTGTCGAGAGACAGCCACTGAGAGTAGCAAAAAATGGCATAGGGCACGAGCGGGTTTTTTACGGTATTTACGAGGGAAACAGATCTGGGTGGGTCATGGGGGGGGGTGTGTCCATATATATATATATACATATTATACATATGTATATATGAACATATGAATATAGATATATATAAATATATATATGTGTGTCAGAGACACAGGAATGACATCTGGAGAGTGCTAGGAGTGTGCCTTCCGGCGGCGACCCTGGTGAGCAAGGTTCTCTCCTGCACTTGGAATCGGGGGTCCGACCTGTTTCAGGAGGTTTCGGGTTTTAGGACTGGAATTGGACTGCTTTGTTCGGCCAAGATAATCTGCATGTTTAACTGTTTGGTCCCCTTTGTCCTCTTGTTGTCATACCCGTGCCTATGAGACCATGAGGCTAAACTACTGATTTCACAAGGCTACTTGGAACCTCGTCGATCGTGTGGAACCCTGCCTTTTTGCTTTGTGCTTCATATCTTTCCTGCTTCGTGGATCTGACAAGGCTGTACTGCACCAGGGTTTTTTAACTTCCCGCTTATGCACGCGGCGCGGGCTTTTGGCCCGCACCGACTTTTAAGTACAATTTGGCTGGCCTATTGGTGCGGGCTGGTGGCCCGCACCGGCTTTAAGTACAATTTGCCTTTGGGATTAGTGCGGGCTGGTGGCCCGCACAGGCTTTTAAGTGCAATTTGGCTTGGGGATTGTTGCACAATTTGGCTGGGGGATTGGTGCGGGCTGGTGGCCCGCACCTGCTTTTTAAGTACAATTTGGCTTCGGGATTGGTGCGGGCTGGTAGCCCGCACCGGCTTTTAAGTACAATTTGGCTTTGGAGGGAGGGCTGGCTGGTGGCCAGCGCCGGCTTTTGAGTACAATTTGGCTGGGGGATTGGTGCGGGCTGGTGGCCCGCACCGGCTTTCAAGTACAATTTGGCCCGGGAATTAGTGCGGGTTGGTGGCCCGCACCAGCTTTCAAATACAATTTGGCTGGGGGATTGGTGGGGGCTGGTGGCCCGCACCGGCTTTCAAGTGCAATTTGGCAGGAGGATTAGTGCGGGTTGGTGGCCCGCACCGGTTTTTAAGTATTTAAGTACAATTTGGCTGGGGGATTGGTGTGGGCTGGTGGCCCGCACCGGCTTTTCAGTACATTTTTGCTTTGGGATTGGTGCGGGCTGGTGGCCCGCACCGGCTTTAAGTACAAGTTGGCTGGGGGATTAGTGCGGGTTGGTGGCCCGCACCCGCTTTTAGTACAATTTGGCTTGGGGATTGGTGCGGGCTGGTGGCCCGCACCGGCTTTTGAGCACAATTTGGCTTTTTGGGATTGGTGCGGGCTGGTGGCGCGCACCGGCTTTTAAGTACAATTTGGCTGGGGGATTGGTGCGGGCTGGTGGCCCGCACCGGCTTTCAAGTACAATTTGCCTTTGGGATTGGTGCGGGCTGTGGCCCGCACCGGCTTTAAAGTACAATTTGGCTCGGGGATTGTTGCGGGCTAGTGGCCCGCACAGGCTTTTAAGTACAATTTGGCTGCGGGATTGGTGCGGGCTGGTGGCCCGGGGGATTGGTGCGGGCTGGTTCCCGCACCGGCTTACAAGTACAATTTGGCTGGGGGATTGGTGCAAGCTGGTGGCTCGCACCGGCTTTTAAGCACAATTTGGCTGGGGGATTGGTGCGGGCTGGTGGCCCGCGCCGGCTTTTAAGTACAATTTGGCCTATTGGTGTGGGCTGGTGGCCAGCGCCGGCTGTTAAGTACAATTTGGCTGGGGATTGGTGCGGGCTGGTGGCCCGCACCGGCTTTTTAGTACAATTTGGCTGGGGAGATTTCTTGCGGGCTGGTGGCCCGCACCGGCTTTTAAGTACAATTTGGCGGGGATTGGTGCGGGCTGGTGGCCCGCACCGGCTTTGAGTACAATTTGGCTGCGGGGTTGGAGCTTTTAAGTACAATTTGCTGGGGATTGGTGAGGGCTGGTGGCCCGCGCCGGCTTTTCAGCACAATTTGGCTGAGGGATTGGTGCGGGCGGGAGGCCCGCGCCGGCTTTTAAGTACATTTTGACTGGGGGATTGGTGCGGGCTGGTGGCCCGCACCGGCTTTTAAGTACAATTTGGCTGGGGGATTGGTGCGGGCTGGCGGCCCGCACCTGGCGTTGAAGTACAATTGGCTTTGGGATTGATCTAGGCTGGTGGCCCGCACCGGCTTTTAAGTACAATTTGGCTGGGGGATTGGTGCACCGGCTTTGAAGCACAATTGGCTTTGGGATTGGTGCGGCCCGCACCGGCTTTAAAGTACAATTTGGCTGGGGGATTGGTGCGGGCTGGTGGCCTGCACCGGCTTTGAAGTACAATTGGCTTTGGGATTGGTGCGGGCTGGTGGCCCGCACCGGCTTTTAAGTACAATTTGGCTGGGGGATTGGTGCGGGCTGGTGGCCCGCACCGGCTTTGAAGTACAATTGGCTTTGGGATTGGTGCGGGCTGGTGGCCCGCACCGTCTTTGAAGTACAATTGGCTTTGGGATTGGTGCGGGCTGGTGGCCCGCGCCGGCTTTTGAGTACCATTTGGCTGGGGGATTGGTGCGGGCTGGTGGCCCGCACCGGCTTTCAAGTGCAATTTGGCTGGGGGATTGGTGCGGGTTGGTGGCCCGCACCGGTTTTTAAGTATTTAAGTACAATTTGGCTGGCGGATTGGTGCGGGCTGGTGGCTCGCACCGGCTTTTGAGTACAGTTGGCTTTGGGATTGGTGGCCCGCACCGGCTTTGAAGTACAATTTGGCTGGGGGATTGGTGCGGGCTGGCGGCCCGCACCGGCTTTGAAGTACAATTGGCTTTGGGATTGGTGCGGGCTGGTGGCCCGCACCGGCTTTGAAGTACAATTTGGCTGGGGGATTGGTGCGGGCTGGCGGCCCGCACCGGCTTTGAAGTACAATTGGCTTTGGAATTGGTGCGGGCTGGTGGCCCGCACCGGCTTTGAAGTACAATTTGGCTGGGGGATTGGTGCGGGCTGGCGGCCCGCACCGGCTTTGAAATACAATTGGCTTGGGATTGGTGCGGGCTGGTGGCCCGCACAGGCTTTTAAGTACAATTTGGCTGGGGGATTGGTGCGGGCTGGTGGCCCGCACCGGCTTTGAAGTACAGTTGGCTTTGGGATTGGTGCGGGCTGGTGGCCCGCACCGGCTTTGAATTACAATTTGGCTGGGGGATTGGTGCGGGCTGGCGGCCCGCACCGGCTTTGAAGTACAATTGGCTGGGGGATTGGTGCCGGCTGGCGGCCCGCACCGGCTTTGAAGTACAATTGGCTTTGGGATTGGTGCGGGCTGGTGGCCCGCACCGGCTTTGAAGTACAATTTGGCTGGGGGATTGGTGCGGGCTGGCGGCCCGCACCGGCTTTGAAGTACAATTGGCTTTGGGATTGGTGCGGGCTGGTGGCCCGCACCGGCTTTTAAGTACAATTTGGCTGGGGGATTGGTGCGGGCTGGCGGCCCGCACCGGCTTTGAAGTACAATTGGCTTTGGGATTGGTGCGGGCTGGTGGCCCGCACCGGCTTTTAAGTACAATTTGGCTGGGGGATTGGTGCACCCTAGTGCCAGGGTTCTGTAGATGCTGTCTCCACTCATGCAACACACTTTCGTGAATTGGCAAGCCGGTTCCTGGCTGCCTGCAGGGCGCCGTGAAGATCAACGCGGAGGCAAGTCGAAGCTGGTTTCAGCTTGGGGGTGAGTGGGGATGCTATCGCGTGGCTGACGTAGCTGAGACCAGACGTAGGGTTGGCAGGTCAGTTCTATGTGGAGATATGCGGACAATGAGTTTTTTGGGGTATTTCGCATGTCGTCAGCTGCTGAGTATACTTGCCGGTAATGAAACCGAGATGCATCCTTCTTCAAACTTCGGGAAAGCTCAGTCCAAAAATCACTCGTACCTGAACAGCATTCAGTTTGGGATGTTCGGCTGAATCCCAAGTAAACCATAAACCCAGTCCTAGCCGAGCCTGGCGGAGAGGAGGCCTTTGTGTCTCAAGTTAAGACCTACGGAGAAAAGGGGATGGCTGTTCGGGGTCACAGTATACGGGAGTCAATGTCATGAAAGATGAGTGGGGATCCTGGATTTAGTTGTGGGAATAGGGGATGAAGCTGCGTAGGATCAGGGCTTTGGGGCGTGAGGACTTCGTACTCCGGGTGCTGCGATCTTCGCTGTATTGCAAGAAGCTGCAGGTCCCTCAAACTCTTAATCTGCCGCTGGCAAGACCCCTGTCTGATCCCCGCGCCTTAAAGAAACTCCACACCCTAAGCCCAGACTCCTTAAGATCCTAAACTGAATCCCTTGGAAAGACAGCTTCTCTGGGCGACGGTTTTTTCGTTTTAAGGCTTCGGTTTTGATTTAATTAGGGCCGCAAGAACCCAACTCGTCCTTCCAGGCAGCTGCAGAGAACGCACTGCAAGCATTGCACCACATTCGGAGGATGAACCCTTTCCCGGCCAGCCCCTTGGGTTCTGAGCTCATGCTTCAGCTTTAATCACTGTAGGGCCGACGATGGGCGATGCATCCCGAGGTAGAGCACTCACTCCATGATCCCTGCATAAACTAGTCAGAGATGTATTTGGGATACAAGGGACGAGTATCTCGGAACAAGAACCGACTTAAACTCTGACATGCAAGGCTCGGATTGCTTTCTGGCATTAGCTGGAGGTTAAGAGGTTAAACTAATCAACCAGTAGAGTCTAGAGCCTTGAAAAAGCGCCCGAAGTCCTTCCTGCGGCAATTCAGGTGGGCGCCGGTGAGCCCCCAGCTCCGTCTGTCATCAACAAAGATGGTGTGGTCAAGGCGCAAGCAGAGATGGGTTTAGGGGTTGAGCAGGGTCTCTGGGCCATGGGGGCGCTGGAAAGTTCGATGCCGCGCCCTCCGTGGCAGTAATAGTCGTAACAGGGGAGAAGCATCAAGATTCGCCAAAGGACGGAATGCAGTGTGCAGCCAAGGCTAAAATGTCACAGCCAGCATTCGCCTTAGACCTTTCGATATATGTATCATGCGCACACACACACGTTTTTAACGGCAACACGGACACGCACGAATGCAAGCTGGGTGTACTTACACACCGGCATGGACACGAAGACGAAGTTACGAAGTTCCGACCTGGATTGGGGACCGTGGGCTGGGAGCCACCGCTTCGAGTTAACGAGTTCAAGATTGTCCGCATGTTGGTTTAGGAGTTCAAAGCGGCGAGGACGCGCTGGCACGGATGCGGTGCTAAAATGTTGACGGGCATCCCGGGGAAAGCGGTTTCGCTTGTATCTCCACATCCCGACAGGATTTCCAAAGGAGAACGTTGGCCAGTTTATCCTATTCGGGGTGGGTTTCGACTGTATGACTGTTATGATGTACCGCTACCGAGCAGTTGCAGATCAAGATCATCGTCGTACCTCGCAAAACGTACGAGATATGTGATTTCTTATTTCTGATACTGGAGTTATCAGGGTTTCGGTTGTTGACGTTGTTGCCCATGGGCTTCATTGGCCTCATAGCAGCCTTCATCCGTGTCTCTGTTGCAGGAACGGTTCCTCATTTCTGGCATTTCCATGTCTGTACCAAAGCTTGTCCGGTTGCTGTCCTGTTGTGCTTACCTGCTGTGAACTGGAAGCTGGCAATTCCCAGAACCCTAAATCGCCAACTTCCACCTTGAAAACCCCCAAGCTCCGAAACTGGGAGGGAGTGGTGAAGCTCGGATGGAGCTGGGAGAACCGCTTCGTCGTCACCTTCACCAGCCCCAAGCATTTGCAGGCTGGAGGAGGTTCAGGGGTTTTGACGTTGCAAGAACGAGGGTGCGAAATTCCCCCACAACCATTCCAGGCTGCTTCAGGGAGGCAGGCCGGTTGAAGAGTCGAACGGTAGAGAAGGCCCTGGCAACGAGAATTCTTAGAAATGATCCTATGTTTCGAGTCTTTGCTCCTGTTGATGCTGTTTGGTATCAGCACGTAGCTGGGCGACCGTATGGTAAGAATGGTGAACCATAGACCATGAGGCTTTGCTCTCGGAAGCGCTGGCCCCGGAAAAAAGCAACTCGCACAGGCTAGGCTGAAGGAGCTGCTGAATCAGCAGGGCTGCTTGGCCACCTACTGCATTGTGCAGGACGGGCTTTGCTTGCAGGCCTGCAGTGTGGGTTTTGAGGGCTTTGGGGCGAACAGTATGCCCCCGAAGTGTGATGTCAACCAAGGGCTACCGCGTGCCTTACAAGGCTTGGCTTGGCATCCTCGTGTTTACGTGTGATCTTGGCTTTGTGTGTGCGTAGCTTCAAAGTCGGAGCCCATTTGAAGAAGATTTTTGAGAGTGAGGCGATGAGTGGGTCATGCCAGTGCCCTCAGGGTCATGTTGCAGTTGCCGGCTCCAAGAACTCGATTTGCAATATGCAGAGAAAAGGAACTGTGGCATTGACACATGTAGGCAAGCTGAAGCACGGCAGATCAATCGGGACGCAGGTCTTGGCAAGATACAGAATGAGACAGGGTCATCCTTCGTTCCATGTGTGGTTTGGGCGTTGTCACCTTGAGGGCTCCTTCGGCTCTTCTCTTGCTTCTCGAACGTCTAGGTTTGATGCATAAACTTGCGGAACGCGCATGGCGCTCAACTCGTTGGCAACTTCCATTGCAAAGCCTCATCTTCTTTGCCAGAACCCTTGCACGCATGATCCCAAAAAGCACTCCAGGAGTGGGTAGATTTTGATTTCGAGATGCGGCAATACTACCTGCCACCGCCGACGTGGCCGGCTGAGGCGCATGGGGAGCCCTTGAGTTTGCCGTCAGGGCTGTTACGATCTTTTTGCCTTTGCGGGTTGGCTTTCCTCATTGTGGCTGACCATGCTAACTAGCTCCTTGACGCCTGGTCTAAATCATCTCGCAGAATCATGTTGGCATTACAGCAGGGTGCTAGTGAAGTTTGCCGACCATGTTCCTCATCCCTGGCGCTGCTCGTATCGATGTCGATGTCTGTGCCTGCAGCTCTGACGCTCAACCATGCACCTTTCCTATACTATACGGCAGGCGGCTCACTAAAAATGATTTGGCTTGCAGCAAGCTCATGTGAGAAATAGTCGTAGAGTGTGAAAGGCTCCCTCCTTATCCGCCCCACCCTCCAGCGAAGCCGACAAGTTCTTTCCGACGGTTAAGACGTGGCCTCAAGTTCTTCGCCAGGCAAAAAGGCAAAAAGGACCCCAAGACCAAACCCGAGGAGACCGCAAATTTCTCGCAACCGTGATCCGTTCTGGAGAATCTTTCCGTATCTCGAACCGTCTAGGATGCATGTGCAACACCAGCTCTTGATAGCAAGTGCTCGCCACAATGCCTTCCCTTGCCAGCACCCAATCCAGCCGACCATGATCCAATGCCGGGGACCCAGCTTCTCGCCTCTAGCTGCAAGACTGACCTAAAGCCCCCCCCCCCCCCCCCGGTGCCGGAGCCCCAAGCCCCAAAAGCCCAAAATCCTAAGCTGAACCCTGAAACACTTAAGCCATTGAGACCCTAGAACCGAAACACTGCGCTGATCCAAAGCACGAACAACAATTTTACCCTTTGGCCCTTGCGGACTCCGCGCCGCCAACTCACATGCGGCCTGGCTTAGGATGCAGGATTTCACCTGCAAGGCAGCATCATCCAGTCCTTAGTCCCTTGCCAGACCAGGCAATGCCTGGGGCCCGTCGGATGACACCAAAAATGCTCGCACCCCAGATTTTGCTTGCTGGTCCGAGCCAGACACGAGAGAAGCTTGAAACGGATCATGCCATAGACCAGGTTGCGACCTTCCAACCCACATCGTGTCTGCGGGCCTTCCTCCCACTTGAACGAATGATCGTTTTTGACAATCAAACTCAAACGCCCCATAACCTTCACTGTAGGAAATTGCATGCCGCAAGCATCCGTGCCAAGCCTTTTGAGGTGGGTGTCTCGCGAGCGAGCTTCTCCAAGCTTTCTGAGGCGACCAAGAACAGCAGAATGGTGGTTCTAAACTTCGGTTTCAACATGTTGTGGGCTGTAGGTGTAGTATCATACTCAGGTTCAGGTCAAGGCTAAGGCACAAGAAGGAATGTGCTTACTCAGCACGGGATTGTTTTGACAGCTAGAATCCAAACAAAAGCACAGTTCAATCTTCGTATTTGTTCAGACTTTATGACAGTCAAAGTTGCAGCCGAATTAAGCAGACCGTTAATTATGAATCATTGAACGCAATAGAACTCAATCCAAACACGAACACGAACACCGGTACTTCACGTACATTCAGGTGAAAGATGCAGGACAGTTTCCAATGAACCTCCAACACTAGTTCACCATCAACAGCACAAAACCAAAGAGTAACAGCGATAGTACACCCGTGAAGACTTACTTTTCGAGCAGTAAATGCAGTAGTCATCGTAGCTCTTGAGATTTCTGGCTTGACCATGGTCTGAAATGAAGTTCGGGTCGTTCGTGCACGGGAGCTGCAAGTTCTGACAAAGAAAGAGAGCGACTAGACTCTGGGCCAGATCCCAAATCCACTGTTGCCAGGCCATGGTGCTGGACAAGTGGGGCGGAGTGGGGTGCCGAGTGTAGCTGATACGCCTGGCTTAGTAAGGCTAAAATATGTCTAGCCATCGTCGCCTCAGAAGTCTTCGCTCAGGACAAAGAAGCTTGGGAAATGGCCAAGGCAAGGGAAGAGCACACACCCCCTAAGCCTTGCCCTGCCTTGCACTCTAAGACCTGAATGGTTCTTTGATGACTTGATGTAAGGTCATTCATAGAAGTCTGAACACAGGAAAAGGCCACCAACATCGCTCAGATCTTGCTGGCCTGGCTACTCTCTGCAGAGCACCAGCCGGCCGGGGGGGAGGGGGAGGAACATTGCTCTTGTTGCTTAAAAGAAACTCCAGGAAAGTCACGTGTTTGGCCTTGGGATAATGCGGTTTTCGGAGTTCAGGTGCCCTCCATGCGCCTGGACTTTATGGTCAAGCGCATCGGTCCCGGCAAGGCACGCGTCGTCTTCGGCGAGGCTTGTCAGCATTTTTGGTTCTGAATGGAGCCTTACGGTGTTTTTTCACATTGGTCGGCACCGGCTTGCCAACGGGCCAAACGTTGTTGGAGCACAAAGAAAAGGTTCAGCTCAGCAGCATATTCCCCAAAACTGAAACGACCTGAGCCTTGCAGTGTGCGTGGCATGCCCAATATGTCAGTTGTCAGATGGGTACAGTCGATTGGGAGCGTTCAGGGTCGGCTCATGCACAAGGACCGAAACAGAGGGGCAAGACTTTGCAAAATGAGGGGCACCTGTTCACAAGAACCCTGCGTCGAAGAGTTGTGATGAGCAGCAAAGCACGTGCCCAGCCAAGGAGTATTGTGGCCCATCTGCAACATGATTCGCTTGAAAGCATTGTGGCATGCAGCCTGCTGGGACTCTGGAGAATCCATTCGTGTCTTCACTGCTTGGCGTGAGACAGCAAGCGCTCTAGAAGAGCCCAGCAAAAGCTTCACAACCAAGCACGATTTGCTAGCAAAGCCCTGAACGACCACCTGCGGAGGTGAACAGGGCGCCTGTGTCCTCGGCTGGCTTGAAGGGCCGCCCACGCCCCTTGCCCGCCAAGTGCCAAAGGTTAACTGTCCCGTCGTGGAAGGTTTGCGAATGCTTCAATCGTGACACGTCGCATCGCGCATCCGTCACTGTCAGTTGTTCAGCGTGTGCCTGGAATCGGCGGACCTGAAACGGAAGCACAAACGTCCACAGGGCATGGCACATGGCACGACATGGCCTCTGACAAATCCCAGCATGCACTCTCTGTGGATCTTCGCGGTCTCAAGGATTTGGCGCGCCTGCTTGGACGCGGCATTGAGATGACAAGCTAGTGGCTAGAAGACGGAGGGGCTAGGGATGTAGTGTCCCAAGCAGACATTAGCTACAAGTAGGAAGCAGATTTGCCGGGGTGGAGCTTAATGTACTTTTAGAGATCGGAGCTGCTCCTTGAGAGTGCGCTGCCGCAAGGGCTGATGGTAGGCGGAGGTTTGTTTCTGTTAAACGGTTTGTGACAATGCGTAGGGCTGTAGTGCTATTTCAGTAGGCCTCGTTGGAGGACAAAGAAGATGAGCCAGAAGCTGACAAAGCCTCACGTGAGAAAGCAACTCCCCCCCCCACAACCCTTAGTTTTGCTTGCTTGTCGGCAAAAGTGCCACGATGCTTGGTGCAAGCAGCACGGCACGTAGAAGAAGGGCTCCGAAACAGATGCCTCATATTAGAATACGATAATAATTTAGAAATAGAATAAGAACCATACCAATACAATATTCTCATACTGCAATATGTACTATAAATGGATAAGACTAGAATAAAACAGCGAATTTAGTTCACGGCCATTGCCGCTGTTTGCATTGGCATGGTGCCGCTGTAGCCTTCAGGACTTAGCATTGCGCAGATTCATGACGCGGTGCAAAAACAACAGGAGGGCTCCGGGCACGGCCATAGGCTTGCGTTGGGACTGTCCACTCAGAGCGAACAGGTTTGGATGAGCTTATTGAAGTTGCTGCAGCCCGTCCGTAGTGAGCTCGTTGACACGGTTTCTCAATGCCTTTCAACCAAGACCAAAGAAAGGCGAGTCCTGTAAGGCCAAAATCTGAAGGCTGCTTGAACACTAAGTACAGGGGGGTAGGTTAAGTCGTATCTTCTTGTGTAAAGTCGGATCTTGGGCGTGTGCACACTGGGGATTCGCGAATTCCAAGATTGGTCAGAACCCACTTGCACCCCCAAGCAGAAATCTCATTCACGCGTGTGGTGACAAGTGCGTGTTTTTGCATGTGTGTTAGCCTAGCCCCTTCTACCTGAAAAAGAAAACTCGAACGTTGCTAGCATATCCCAACTTGTGGTGCTTGTGGTAGGGAAGTTTGCACACCAGCCAGGGGCATGGAAGTTCCAGCGGGAGCTGTGCTGATCTGGCCCCGGGCTGAAGGGGGGCGGGGCGCTTTGGTGTGTCCGGACGTTTCTGTTTTGTGTGGGGACCCATGTCCACTGCGGGGGCAGTGCCCAAAACTCATGCATTAACTTCCGCAACTTTGTTGTAGGATATTCTACGCAACCGGCATCCCGGAGACACGGAGCACTCTAGAGCTCGAGGGTACTTTACTGACCCTAGGCTGGCTTGTGAGGTGCACATGCAGGAAAAACTGGATTTCAGAGCTTGCAGTCGAAAACCGCCCCACATCCGCAACCAGAAATGCCGACCGCACCTCTCCGAAGGTGAGAAGGCTCCTCTACTTGCTTTCGAGAGTAAACCATGACCGCCGGGACCTTCATACGTGGGCCACGCCATCCGCACTCCTATGCGGACTGGGCCGACGCGAGACAGAGAAAGACTATCCAACGTGAACAGCACGGGATGGGAGACATGCACAATATCCACGACATTCCGACATATTCCGACCAGCTGCATATTTGCAAATGATCTCAAAACTCCACGGGCACTCTGTGTAGCAGCATTTTCCAATTGAAGCCGCTGCCCCTAAACCCTAACCCCTAAACCAAGCTATGCAGTGACAAAAGCACAACTCAGAAACATGCGAAACGTGTAGTCGCGGACGGACGATTCGATACAAATGCCGTAGGGTTTGATTTGCTGCAGTGTTGTCACTATCCGGTTTGCGAACCCAAAAACCTGAGTGTGGACGGCTTGTCGCTGCAAGGCAACGTAAGCTGCGTGCCTGCGTGCAAAGAGCGATTTTGAGCGAGGCTTTGCAAGAAAAAGTCCGTAAAGATCAATCCGTAGCGGGCTCTAGTAGTGGGGGCCATAGGCAATAGTTCTGCGGTCTCGCTTCCAGCCCTCCAAATATGAGACCCCAACATGTTTGGCCCAAAGACAAAGACTTCGGTCCAGTGACTGATGCGAGGTCTCTTCCGGACTTGAAGCAATTTCCAGAGCCGGGGGCCAGCGATGGAGAAGGTTTAAGATTGGCGGCTTAAGATTTTGGGCTTGAGGACCCTTTTTGGGTTGACTGAAGTCGACTGTGTCCTCTTTGGCGTTAACCCGGATGTAGCTGCAGCACCAGCGCTTTCTGCGTTTGCTTTAGATTAATTAAGTTAACAAACACAGACCCCCCACCCCCCACCAGCCTGAACGTATCGTGCCGTGTCGCACACACCATCGCAGCCACACAGCGCAGAATCCGATTGAACAAGCCGCTGGAAGACGAAACTAGTTCCGGCACGATCACGCGCTGAAAAAGCTTCGTGAGAAGAGCCACAGGCTTGACCGTTTTATACTCCAGCAGAAAGAACATGCCAGAAGTTATCGTAAGTTGTGAGCCTTGCCTGCAAATACGCCAAAACTTTACCTTGAATCCTAAACCCTGGACCCCAAAACCTGAAGCCAAGCCAAAGCTAAGCCGCTGTAACTGGGTCAGCACGTTTGCAGCAGGTAGGGGGGAGGGGAGAATGTCGTCAACAAGCCAAGCCTAGGCCAAGCCGCTTGAACGAGTCCAGCATCATCTGAAGCAGGGTTTATGTTCTACTGTTGGTGAGTGTATATAAGGTTCCTTTTTAATATTGGTGTGTATATATTGGGTGTCCTGTTGGGGACAAGGAATAAAGCCCTACTTCATGTAGCTTTAGGGCCGTGGCAGTCAGCTCGACAGCTGAGAGCACCGGTCCAGAAACAAATCCAGAACCCATCCACCAAACGCTTGGCCCAAGGCTCTCTGCACAAAATAACCCCACGAAGCCCTACATACAGGAAGCAGCTTAGAATTTGCAAATGTAGGGAATTGAAGGCTCCGACAACAACTGCAGGCTTCCAGCCCCGGCGCTTGCGCGGCCCAGCGTTGCACTCAAGTCCGCGACTCAGGGCAGCTTCCGAGCCTCGGACCCTGAAGCCGATGAATCCTTCCGGCCCTCAGAAACCCTTGAGAATCCTGATATGGCTAAGCGCCAGAAATTTCATGCGAATGTTTATGGTTTGTCCTTTCAGCGCTGCTGCAGGATAAGCACCAGCGCTGAGGTTTGGACAAGCACCCCAAACCCGTTTTGCCTCACTTATCATTTTCTGAGAACATGCGATGTCTCTTCCTGAAGAAGTTTACGAGGGCTGTATGCGGTGCAAAGGTTTTCATGCTCTGAACAGTGCGCGGGCATAGGGTTGCGATATTTGGAGTGCAAAATAACTTGTCTGTTCGCTGGAACTCGTTGGTTCTGGGTCGCCCTAAGTCGCCCGGCCTGTGCCCGTGGTGCAGAGTGGAGTTGGGTTTATGGCATGGGTAGGAAGCATGTCATGGCAACAGCGCGGAAGATCGAGGGAAGGGACATTGGGCTACATGAGTTCCCTGCCCGTGTAACGAAGATATGGATGGCTGGGTTTGGCTGGGCTTTGGGTGCATGCCCTTGAGCGATACTCAGACGGTCTTTAAGGGCAGTGGATTTTCCCGTGTGCTGTCGAAATTTGAGTCTGGAGCCTATGGGTGAGGTGTAGGGAGCACGCGTGCATTGCAATGTACGGAGACGAAAAGTACAGGAAACAGCGAGAGTGGGTGACAGAGACTTTCTTCCCCAGTGCCGTGGATTGGGGCAAGTGAGCTTGGTTTCCCGTAGTGATGCTCAATACTCAAGACTGAAAAAGCAATTAAGTAGAAAGGTGGATGTGGTGGTTTTCTGAGTCAAGGCCTGTCACTACTTCACCCATCTTCACCCCGAAAGCAGCGCTCAGGGTTTCAGGCTGCAGGGTTGTGAGTGCTGCGCTCCAGGTCTGCCTCGTGCAGTGGGAGTCTCGTGGCGTTTGCCACCACAGACGGCCAGCACAAGGCTCAGAACATCTTATGAAAGCCCAAACCCGAAACCCCTACACGCCTGTGAAAAGCTTCTTTTTTCTCCAAGGCTGTACTTGCTAGATGTCGCCGCAGACAACGCACCACGTCTGGTAGAGGACGGGGGGTGATGGGGCTTTTCAGATGCTGACCCATCTTCTGCAGGCAACAGTCGTCTGAATGGGAATAGGCAAATAGTAAGTTTTGCCATTTCGCAGCTCCTAAAGGAAAGTTTTCCGGGGC